AACACAGTATGGTGAAAGGTATAAAAAGGCGTTAAGGTCAGGCAGTCATTAGTATGGAATAAATGAACATACCAAATAGTCCATAACATGAAATTCAGTTTCTCAGTTGCAGGAATTTTATAACGTCCCTTATATAAAGTGAACCTGTATCGATCTGTCAATCAGTTTGTTTAGAGCAATATTTCAATGCAAAGAATTTCCATATTTTTAAGTCATAAACACACTTGTGGTGCTGATATTTTAAAATATAGATCTTTCAACGGTACACATTTCGTTCTAGACACAATCCGATCAACAGTGCAAAATTTGGTGTCAATCGGACAAAAGCTACGTCTTCGATGAATTATTTACATATAATCCGAAGAAAATATAAATGGGACATATATCAAAATCGATTAAATTGGTTCTAAAAATAAAGTTCTTTTATCGACAAATAAACGACAAAAAAAGAGTCAATCGATCTAAATATTGAAAAAATTTCTAAAAACCGACCGATCGAAATGCCGGTTTAAAAAATACGGAAAATGGGTCGGGAAATCGTACATGGGGGCTATGAAGGAATATATGGTGTTTATACCCTTCACCACACTGTGTTACAGGGTGTAAATGATGCACCAAATTCCCAATTTTTGTCCGATTGGGACAAAATTTTACGCAGCGCACTGAGATTTAGATATAGCTCCCATATATAGTTTCGTCCGATTTTATGTTAATGTTGCACCAAACTCCCAATATTTGTCATCTTGGGACAAAATTCTGCACAGAGTACTGAATTAGATCCAGACTGATGTCTGCGAAGTTTTGTTAAAATCGGTTCAGATTTACATATAGTTTCCATATATAGTTCCATCCGATTATTTGTGAATTATACACCAAACTCCCAATATTTGTCCGATTGAGCAAAATTTTGCATTGCGAATGCAATTGAGGAAAAAATGATGTGTGATAAGGTTTGTTGAAATCGGTTCAGATTTTGATATAGGTCTTATATGTCTTATTTTATGTAACTGGTGCACCAAAGTGCCTATGTTTGTTCGATTTACACGAAATTTGGCAGAGGGTATTAAATTGAATATAGAGTGATAACAAAAACAAATGGTGTATGCAACGGTTGCTCAATTAGGTCCACGGGTTTATATATAGCTCCCATACATAATTTTACTCGTTTCATAAAAATGGTACACCAAAGAATTCAAGTCTTTTAGAGGGAAGATTGATGATGAGAACCCAATATATCGAAGTATGTCAATTGGTTTGAAAAATGAATCCAAAGTCCCCAATATACCGAATACCGCTATATAGGCGATACCTCGAAGCAGGGACCAATATTGATAATTTTATTTAGGGAGAATTTTTACCCAAAGAGAATACACAATATCAAATTGGAGCCACAATATCAAATAGTCTCCGAAATACCGAAATTTGGGGGTACCGTTATATGAGGGCCATCCGAAAAAAGTGATCTAATATAGATCATTTTTATTAGATCGATTCGGTACCAAATTATAACCATTTCAGTTAAAAACGTGCCCAAACTTCCCAAAATACCGAAATTTCTGAAGCACCTTTATATGTAAGCTATACGAAAATGTGGTCCAATATTGATAATTTTGTGTGGAGATTTGGCACCCAATAACAGCACAAAGTGTAAAATTACAGCGAATTCGGTTGAAAAAAGCGCCCACAAATTGGACCAACATTGATAACTTTTGGCGGAAAAAGATGGTACCCTATTAGAACCCAATACACCAAATTATATTCAAATCGATTGAAAAACACGGCCAAAATTCTCACGGATTTGAATATTTTTAGGGGATATCGTTATAGGAGCTAATCCACAATGTGGACCGATATTGAAAATTTTTAGTAGAAGCATTTCATATCAAATGAAAATAAGTGGATTCTTACAAAATTTTGGTCGAATTTCGGTCCGAAAAATGGAAAGATATTTGTATTTTTAATGGAGAGATTTGGTACCCAATAATAACCCAATGTGGCAAAATTACAGCGAATTCGATCGCGCTTAATAAACCCAAAACCAAAATACGGTGTATTTATACCCTTCACCACACTGTGGTACAGGGTATTATGTCTTTGTGCATATGTTTGTAACAGGCAAAAGGAAACGAGATAGACACATGGTTCCTTTTGAGAATATGCATAGAATCACTTTCTGTGTCGATTTACGCATGTCCGTCTGTCCGTCCAACTTGGCATAGGTCACTTATTTGGCCCAAGGACGAACCCTATTGAAATTGGGAAAAATAGGTTCAGATTTATATATAGCTCACATATATATTTTAGTTCGATTTAATGTAAATGGTGCACCGAAGTCCCGATATATCTTACGATTTGCACGAAATTTGGCACAGCGAATTGAATTAGGCCTAGAATGATGTGTGCTGAGTTTCATGAAAATCGGTTCAGATTTATATATAGCTCCTATATATATTTTAGTCCGATTTAATGTAAATGGTGCACCGAAGTCCCGATATATCTTTCGATTTGCACGAAATTTGGCACAGCGCATTGAATTAGGCCTAGAATGATGTGTCCTGAGTTTCATGAAAATCGGTTCAGATTAATATATATCTCCTATATATATTTTAGTCCGATTTAATGTAAATGGTGCACCGAAGTCCCGATATATCTTTCGATTTGCACGAAATTTGGCACAGCGTAATGAATTAAGCCTAGAATGATGTGTGCTGAATTTCATGAAAATTGGTTCAGATTTAGATATAGCTGCCATATATAGTTTTGTCCGATTTTATGTAAATGGTGCACCAAAGTCCCTATATATCTTTCGATTTGCACGAAATTTGGCACAGCGTTATGATTTGGCACATCACGAATGATGTGTGCAAAGTTTCGGGAAAATCGGTTCAGATTCAGATATAGCTCCCATATATATCTTCGCCCGATTTTAGGTAAATAGTCCACTAAAGTCCCTGGAAATCTTTTGATTTGCACGAATATTGGCATAGGGTACTGAATTAAGTCTAGAATGATGTGTGCAAAGTTTTGTGAAAATCGGTTCAGATTTAGATACAGCTCACATATATAATTTCCTCCGATTTAAGGTTAATAGTGTACCAAAGTCCCTATATATCTTTCGATTTGCACGAAATTTGGCACAGCATAATGAATAAGGTCACGAATGATGTGTGCAAATTTTCGCTTTCCCATGTATAACTTCGCCCGATTTTAGGTAAATAGTCCACTAAAATCCCTGGAAATCTTTAGATGTTCACGAAATTTGGCACAGAGTTATGAATAAGATCGAGAATGATGTCTGCCAAGTTTCGTGAAAATCGGTTCTGATTTAGATATAGCTCCCATATGTATTTTAATCCGATTTAAGGTAATTGGTGCACCATTGCACGAATTTTTGTATACGGTACTGAATTAAGTCTAGAATACTAAGCTTCGTGAAAAGATCCATAGCTAGGTCGATTGACACAAAGGTTCAGATATAGATTTATAACAAAACGCGTCGTCTGTTAGGATACATATGTAAAATATACCCAAAGTGGTGAAGGGTATCATATAGTCGGCCCAGTCCGACTTTACTACTTTCCATACTGGTTTTATGTGTGGATGTGACAAAATATGGATATATATCGACATTTTCAGCAAAGATCATCCAACAAAAATTAGCTTCAAATAAAAGCCACTGGACCTCGAATGCCTAATTATAGCCACTTTTGTGGAAATACATCTAAAACCATTCAAAGGCCGATAATGGGGTTGCTTCTCAATGGAACTCCAAATTGCTGCGGATGGGCAATAATTCGTAATACTTGTACTATCTTACTCTTAAATATTTTCCGAATCTGGACAAGTAACAGCCTTTACAGTTACTTGTTCAGATTCCCATAACAGTGGGTTGTTGTATTGTGAGGTTTGGCTTATAAATGCGGCCTATAGATCGACTCGAAAAAAAAATAGTTTTCGGTCCATTTCATACCAAATTATCTGATCACCGCCGAAAATTATAGCCGTTGTCCTTGACCATAACCAGATTAGAGCGACAATTCCGCCCTCTAGTGTGGCCATGGATTACTAAATAATATCTGAATACGTAGAGACCTGACACTTAAATATTTAAGTGTAACTCCCACATCCGAGCACATACAACCAAAAATAATTGGTATCAATTTAAAGGTCAATCACTCCTCTTGGATATACTAACTTCTATGTCCTTCTTTGGCCTGATCCACTTCTCCATGTACAATTTCGCGATTTTCGGGACATGATTGCGGCCTCTGGAGCGACTAGAAAAACCGACAAAAATTAGGTATTTGGTCCATTTCATCCCCTAAATATTAACCGATCTTTAACAAAAACCATCTACATGCAAGTTGTAATGGACAGACGGACGAGCACACATGCATAGATCGACTCAGTTAGTCGAGATATGACGATCGGCGTTACAAACTCTTGGGGTTGCACAAAGCTTTAATACCCTGACAACATAGTTGTGTATGTAATTGAATGTAATTCAAGGAGTCTGCGACGAATATTTCGAGTTTTTGAGAATGGAAGAAGGATACATTTTAGATTCACTCCACCTAGTGGTAGAGGGTATAAATGGTGTACATGATTATCGGTCCCTCCCAAGTTTGAATTGAAATATGTTTATAATGCCTATTATTTTATGTGACCAATTATCATGTAATTAAATGTCCTTTTGTTATTATATAATTGCTCTTTTGTTTTTAATTGCTAAATCTACCCATTCAACAAGTAAAAGTTCAACAATCTACGCCCTATAGTTAAATACTGGGTGGGGGGAAACGAATTACAAACTATGCAAAAAATTGGCAAACTTTTGTACCCAACAATAAAAACATTCCCTGAACTTCATCCTTGTTGGTCTCTGGGCCTTGGTTCGCTAGACTTCTTTTGTAATTATCTACAACTCCGAATCACGACCGACAATGAAGTTGAACAAAAGTTTCGCCCATTAAACCAAAAAAAAAAAATAGTTAACATACCTATGAGTTAGAATTTTATCGACATTGACGAAACGACGACCATTAGCAGAAGCGGCAGTTGCTGCTGCTGCCGCCGCAGTCATTTGTTGATGTTGCTGGTGGAGGGTTGCACTCAGCTTCGAACCCATACAAATGGTATAGGTGCCATCGAGATTGTCACTGCAATTGTTGGAATCTTTGGTTTGAAGATTTTCAAATTTCTTGAAAGTCTCTAAAGGGGGGAGGGAAGGATGGAAAGAAACAATTTTAGTTTTTCGAAAAATAGAACATTTTTAAGGACATTCTTATAAAAACCTTGATTTCCACAATTGTTGTTGTAATTGTTGCTGCCAATGTTGTTGTTATTAGGATTGTTGTTCCTTTGCTGATTATTGTGATGATTAAAATGTTGTGCTCGATTTGTGTTGTTGTTGATATAATAATATGGCGGGGATTGTTGTTGCTGCTGTTGTTGTTGATTTGGATGCATTGGGAAATTGCTGTGCTGAGATTTTCTTCGCGTCACCGTCTGATAATGATGACCATTTAAATTATAATTTACTTTCGGATAGGTGGAATTCATATTATACTGCTGTTGTTGTAGATGGGCATAGGCACCCATTCCAGGGTAATATGTGGGTGGTTTATGTACACGATAGGTGCCATTCAAGTCCATGGCGGGAAATCTGGAAAAAATAGAGGATTTTTTAAATAACATTTTTCAAGGCCTTCATAAGGCGTGGATTTTTTAAAGAATATTTTTCAAGGCGTGGATCTTTCAACCAATATTTTTCAAGGCCCTCATAAGGCGTGAATTGTTTGAAGAATATTTTTCAAGGCCCTCATAAGGCGTGATTTTTTTAAATAATTTTTTTCAAGGCCTAATTTTGGTTTTTTTTGAATATTTTTTCAAGGCCTAATTTAGGCGTGGACTTTTTAGGAGCTTTTTAAAGATATTTTTTAAGACCTTCATAAGGCGTATTTTTTAAAAATTTTTTAAGACCTTCATAAGGCGTGGATTTTTTAAAGAATTTTTTAAGACCTTCATAAGTTCATAAGGCGTGAATTTGTTCTTCAATGCCTAAACAAAGACCTTCATAAGGCGTGGATTTTTTAAAGACTATTTTTTAAGACCTTCATAAGGCGTGGATTTTTTAAAGACTATTTTTTAAGACCTTCATAAGGCGTGGATTTTTTAAAGAATATTTTTTCAAGGCCTAAACAAGGTTTCGAAGGATATTTTCTAAAGGACCAACTCAGCTATAAGTGTATAATAGTCACCCTGGTCATTCAATTAAAATATATTGCTTTCCTTTTCAACCTCCATGATTACCTTCCTTATTCGACATCTAATTTCTTTATCAATTTCAATCACACACGAGTTTCCTATCGTTTATCATTTGTCTGTTGTATTTTGTTTAATTGTAAATATATGACATGTCTTACCTTGAATTTACGCTCTGTCTGGTAAAACGTCCACTTATACCATCACCAATGCAACCATTTCCTCCACCTGCAACTCCTCCTCCGCCACCACCGCCGCCACCTTTACCCGGAACATCATTACTGACCACACTACCACCACTACTCGTATAATTGCTATCAGAACTTCTTCCATCGACGGAAGAATCTGAGCATGAGTTGGGCGGTATAACGCGTCGTGTTGTGTAGACTGGATAATCAACTGAAAGAAAAGGACATTTAAATGATTAAAAATGCATCTGTGATAGATAATATAAATCCTTATAAGGAATGTATACGAAATCATAATTTTAGGTAAATATATGTGGTAAGGAGTTGTGAGTTTTCGTAATTCATATAAACAATATTTTTTGTGGGTTTGATATAGCCCTCATATAACCGTAACCACCATATACCGGCACCCCCAGGGTTTAGTCTCGTTTTTTTAATTCCGTCTTAGTTTTTGGGCTATCGTTCTTCGCGAAGTATTATTTGGTTGATCTCGAATTTGTGATCCTTTCGGGAAATCCATTCAAAGGTCATAATGGTTATACTACTATTTTTATGGTGAGGTCCATTCATTTCCTAGCAGGTGAATACCTGTAGTGTTAGCGCGATTGATAAATCGCCAAAATTTTGCAGTATTTTGTCTGCAGGAAGGTCAAGTTCGGTATTTTGAGAGCATTTTTAGATCGAAGTCGCTGTTATTTGGAGCATTGAATTCTAATTGATTTCTAATTGGAAAATATATCTCTCCAATAAAAATTATCAATAACGGTACATTTTCGGTAAAATATTGGTAACATATTTTGAATAGTCTCCATATAGCGGTACCTCCAAAAATTCAATATGTTGAGGATATAAGCCCAGTGTTTTGCCGAAGTCGCTTCAATTCATTCATCATACCAAGTTCAAAATTCGGACGGAACCGACTATAGGACAACCTTCACCACGTTGGCTAAATAAAAGATATGCATATCATCTTTGGAGGACCAATGAAATGGAATCAGGAAATGCGATGGAAAGGGACATGCGTAAGTAAGTCAGACGATTATGCACTGTATAATAGCTGTCAGGAAATGAGACATGAATTTGGCCGCGGATTTATGGTTAACAGTAGTAGAAAAGGAAAAAAAAAAATGGCTGTTGCAAACATACATTTACTGTGAAAAAAATTCATTGCCAACGTCCCTGGCTCCCATATATATCTTCGTGCGATTTCAAGTAAATGGTGCACCAAAGACCCAAAATTAGGCCACAAAATTTTGCACAGCGTGCAAAATTATGCCAGACTGATGTACGCAAACTAACGTGTGCAAAGTTTCGTTGAAATTGGTTCAGTTTTAGATATGCCACCCATATATATTTTCGTCCAATTTTAAGTAACTGGTGCACCAAAGACACAAAGATAAGAGTTTTGTGAAAATCAGTTCAGATTTATATATAGCTCCAATATATGTATTTCGATTTTGAGTAAATGGTGCACCAAAGCCCCTAAATATCTTTCGATTTTCCCGAAATTTGGCATGGTGTACTAAATTAAGTCTAGAATGATGTGTGCTAAGTTTCGTAGAAATCGGTTCAGATTTGGATAAAATTTCCATATATATTTTCCTCCGATTATAAGTAAATGCAGACAAAGCTCATATATATTTTTGACCGGAAGTGGGTCCGACTTTACTACTTTCCTTACTGTTTGTACCCTTCACCACACTGTGGTACAGGGTATTATGTCTGTTTGTAACAGGCAAAATGAATCGATAGAAACACTTTCTGAGTCGATTTACGCATGTCCGTCTGTCCATGTATTTTGTTAACAAAGTACAGGTCGCATTTATGATCGAATTCGGATGAAATTTGGCACAGTTCACTTATTTGGCCCAAGGACGAAACCTATTGAAATTGGAGAAAATCGGTTCAGATTAGATATAGCTCCCATATATAGTTTCGTCGTTTTGTTGGAATCGGTTCAGATTTAGATATAGTTCCAATATATATAGTCGTCCGATTTTATGTGAATGATGTACCAAACTCCCAACATTTGTCCGATTGGCACAAAATTTTGCACAGAGTTCTGAATTGGGTCTAGGCCGATGGTTGCGAAGTTTTGTTAAAATCGGTTCAAATTTAGATATAGCTCCCATATATAGTTCCGTCCGATTTTTTGGTGAATGATACACCAAACTCCCAATATTTGTCCGATTGGGTCAGAATTTTGCACAGAGTACTAAATTAGGTCCAGACTGGTGTCTGCAAAGTTTAGTTAAATTCGGTTCAGATTTAGATATAGCTCCCATATACAGTTTCGTCCGATTTTATGTGAAAGATGCACCAAACTCCCAATATTTGTCCGATTGGCACAAAATTTTGCACAGAGTACTGAATTATGTCCAGACTAATGTATGCGAAGTTTTGTTGAAATCGGTTCAGATTTAGATATAGCTCCAATATACAGTTTCGTCCGATTTTATGTGAAAGATGCACCAAACTCCCAATATTTGTCCGATTAGCACAAAATTTTGCACAGAGTACTGAACTAGGTCCAGACTAATGTATGCGAAGTTTTGTTGAAATCGGTTCAGATTTAGATATAGCTCCCATATATAGTTTCGTCCGATTTTTTGTGAATGATGCACCAAACTCCAAATATTTGTCCGATTGGGACAAAATTTTGCACAGAGTATTGCCTCAGATCCAGACTGATGTCTGCGAATTTTTTTAATCGGTTTAGATTTAGATATAGCTCATACATGTAGTTTCGTCCGATTTTTTGTGAATGATACACCGAACTCCCAATATTTGTCTGATTGAGTAAATTTTTGCATAGCGAATGCTATTGGGAAAATGATGCGTGATAAGGTTTGTTGAAATCGGTTCAGATTTTGATATAGGTCTTATATATATTTACGTTCGATTTTATGTAAATTGTGGTTACACGAAATTTGGTAGAGGGTATTAAATTGAATATAGTGATTACAAAAAACAAATGGTGTATGTAACGGTTACTCAATTAGGACCATGTGTTTATATATAGCTCCCATACATAATTTGATTCGATTTCGTTCAAATGGAATCCAAGTCTGTCCGTTTGACATACAATTGATTTCAGACTGGTATGTGTATGGGGTTTTTCAATTGGTTCAAATATTTATCTAGATAGCACATTTAATTTCGCCCGATTTCATCTCAATGGTCCTCCAAAGATTCTATGACCGTTCTATGTAAAGGATATTATAGATATTTACATGTCTTGCATGTACCCAAAGTGGTGAAGGGTATCGTATAGTCGGCCCCGGCAAAATATTAGTTAACTCCAAATGTTCGGTATTTTCTACACGATGGAATCAGTATTGGTCCCGAAATAAAATCCAGTGTATATCGGCGATGGGCTCATATAACTATGTTGCAGTATTTTGAAAATTTTATACACATGTTCCACTCTATCATGCGTCGTCAATGACGGTTCACGTTTTGGGGTTTTGAGATTTTAGGAAAAATCTCAATTTAAAATTGCTGAAATTTGTATTTGGTGTACATTATGATTTGCAACAATCGCAGTAAAGTAACTGTCAGAATTCCCATGGTAGAGGGTATCCAAAGATCGGCGCGGCCGAACTTAACACTTTTTTCACTTGTTCATATTAAAGACTTACATAGTGTATTTTATTAAAAATTTTCCTATTGTAAAATATCACAATGTCCACCTGTAACCTTTGTTACCTGTCACACCTGTCTATAATTTTTCCAAACTAATTTAAATTAACTGTCATTCAATCGCTCGGTTTGCTTTAAATCGACAATCGATAATCAAAAATGACATGAAATCAAGATTTGGAAATACTTTAAATGTCACCCTACCACCTCAACCATACCCTGACAACTTACTAGTCTACCCATGCAAATGTTAAGGAATGTTACGGGTGTTTTTGGTGAAGGTTCAAGGCATTGGTTGTTAGGTCAACAACATAGACACCACATACACAGACAGACAATAACAAAAACCGAAAATAAATAAACAAAACAATAAACATAAATAAATATTGGGGAAACATAAAAAACCATGAACAAAACATAAATAAATTCATACTTACCGTTCGATTTCTTTGAGGTTAAGCCATAATTGTATGGATTTGAGGCAAAAACATGATGGAAATTATAACCGGTAGTGTCATCCTGGAAAAATCATAAAAAATTTCACATTTTATTATTTCAAAATTTAATGAAATCATCAATAAATGTAATAAATATTTTAATAATTTTTTACCCATTTCAAATAGTTGACCGGAACTAAATTGTATAGCGGATAATTATTGTAGATTTCTAACATTTTACGTTTATTGGTAAAATATTGATCGGTTATAAATGGTAAAACCATTAGGATATAGCTGTTTGTGTAGTTGTGTGTGTGTGCGTTTGGGATTTGTTTGGCTACCGGCCGGGCTAATTTTTTGCCTATACTAAAAACTTAATTTGTTTCACTACACTCTTATAAAAAAAAATCCCTTTGGTTCGTTTACAAAAAATTTCCGCCGTCCTTTATCCAAACAATGTTAAAATAAAACTGCTGCCTGCATTTGCATGTCGACTGCTTTTACCCCAAAACGCGCGGAAAATAATGACAGTTTAGAAAAACACAACCAGTCAGTCAGCTATCCAGCCAACCAACCCTCCTTTGTGCTTTGTTAGCTGTTGGCTCTTTGTTGTTGTTTCCTATCCTGCTGTAAGTGCATATTGGTGATTTCCCACAACAACAAAAATCAATTATAGTATCGTGAAGAGAGACATAGAGAAGTGCACAATAGGCTGTATCGTATGATGACAAATTACGAGAACAAATTAAAATTATAAATGTAAAAACCTTCACCATAAGGAGGGTGTTTTGTATTGCAAAGGATTGACTGAAACTGATTGAAACTGATTGACTGCAAAGACTGAAGTTCCAGTTCTTTTCAGAAAATAGTATATATGTCCCGTCTAACTTTTGGTATGTTGTGGTCCTTAGTTCGCATTTCAAACCTGAGTTGTATGTTATTTTTTATGCTCTGAGAAAATTAAATACCGTATTACTTTTCTAACATCATAAAAAAGCTATTAGTAAAAAATTTTAATTAGTAAAAAATTTTAATTTTCTAACACCATAAAAAAGCTATTAGTAAAAAATTTGCAATGACACCTTCCTCATATAAGTGGCCCGACCGGGTTTTCGACATTTTAAATGATGGAGCGTATAGTTCGGCACGTCCCAAATTTCAACATTTTACTACTTTATTTTCTACATTATTACAGAGGGTATTCCGAGGCTTTATTGACCCAGCCTTATTTGAAGATCCAGAATTTGGGAACGATTTTCAACATAATTGACCTTTGTTATATATATTGGATTTTCATTGAGTAGAAAATCTGTCTATCAAAAAATATCGATTGACCCACGTTTCGATGTTGCTTGATGGAAACGAGATAGACCCATAGTTCCTTTTGAGAGTATGCATAAAATCACTTTCTGAGTCGATTTATACATGCATGTTCGTCTGTCCGCCTGTTGGTGTTAAATTGTAAACAAAGTACAGGTCGCAATTATTATCCGAATTGGATGAAATTTGACACAGCTCATTTATTTGGACCAATCGATTGATTTTAAGTAATTGGCGCACCAAGGAACCAATATATGTCTGATGGGAACAAAACGTACTAAAATTAGTATAACCTAACCAGTGACAAGTTTTGGTGAAATCGGTTCATATTTGGATATAGCTTCCGATTTAAAGTAAATGGTGCATCAAACTCCTCATGTTTGTCAGATTGACATGAAATTTTGCACAACGTACAAAATTGAGCATAGTGGTGAAGGGTATCATACATTCGGCCCCGTTCTCAGTAGGTGTCAAATCCTTCCACCAAAAATTATCAATATCGGGCCAAGTTTTGATATTCTGCTATTTCGATTCCAAAGTGTGTTTTTTTAAGGAAATATTCACGAAGAAATATCCGTTCCCAATGAGTGAATTTTTATGTAGATTGTCGCAAAGAAAAATATCCGATCCTAAGGCATGAATTTTTAAGAAGATTTTCACAAAGAAATATCCGATCCCAAGGCTTGGATTTTTAAGGAGATCTTGTCAAAGGAACATCCCATTTCAAGTCGTGAATTTTTATGGAGCGTTTCCAACGAAATATCGAATTCAAAGATGTGCATTTTTAAAAACTTTGTCAAAGACATAACCGATCCAAAGGTATGGCTTGTTAAGGAGATTTTGCAGAGATCCAAAAGTGTGGATTTTGAAGGAAATTTTGTAAGTGAAATATCCGACCTGAAGACGTGCATTTAAAGGAGATTTTGTCGAACAAATATCCGACCCCAAAAGCATGGAGTTTTAAAAAGAATCTGTTCTAGAAATATACGATCCAAAAAAGTGAATTTTTAAGGACATTTTGTCAATGAAATATCCGAACTGAAGATGTGGATTTTTAAGGAGATTTTGCAAATGAAATGTCCGATAACAATGTGGGGATTTTTAAGGTGATTCAGTCAAAGCAAAATCGTAGCTAGAGGCGTGGTGAGAGATCTTGCAAAGAAATATCAGATTCTTTATAAATGGTATATCGAATTCCTGACATATCAAATAAAAAACCTGAACATATATTGTACTTGTAATCTCCCTTTTGTAATGATAATCTTCAAAAGGACTTTTTAAAATCAATTGTCGGTTCAGCTATATTGTGGTTCCTTGTAGTATAATATGTGGGGACTATACTTTTTATTTTTTTTCTCTTCATATATAGATTTAAAGGTACATTAGATAGTCAACATTTGCATGCAACACAAAATTCAAATTAAATTCACAGAAACCCAAGATTCACAGAGAATTGATGCGAAATAAAACCATCGACATATAGGCATTCTAATAGTCCTAGGCACAAATGGCTATAGGAATTCCGACTAGTTTTCAGTATGTTCAGGGTCTTAGCCTAACTTTTCAAGGGTTTGTAGTTTGATATTTCATCTTCTCCCAAGAGAAGTGTGTCATTTTCAATATACCTCCATTACAAAATTTGATGTTTGTATATGGCTTAATTAAAAAACACAATAACAAAATCAGATACATTTGTGACTGCTGCTAATTTTTCCTTGTAAACCTTAACCATATCCACCACCTGTGTGATTAATCGGACAGTTAAATTGGAAAAATACGAGAAATTTTAATAGCAGTAACAGCAGTGTAACATGGTAGACGGATTTTTTCATCAGATAAATTGTCTTCACTAGTATCGTTGTCGTAACGTCTATACGTCCTAATATATACTTATTGTTTACATATAAATCTAAACAATTGGAAGGTGTGACAATTTCGACACTAAAACACATTCATTTGAAGAGAACTTAAAATAATTGGTTATTACCCTCAGACTTGCCTATGCATTTAAATTAAACTGCTTCCAGGTGTTGTTGATACGGTACAGTAGTTTATTGATTCGAAATCAAATACGTCAATAACCAGTAAGAGAAGGAGATGGAGATGTTCCATAAATTCTTATTGTTACATACGACTTAAACAAAGCTCAACAACTATTTCTCCCCAATGATTATATATACTGACGATCGGACATATGTAGCGTGTTTGTGGACTCCTGACATAATATCGAACCGAATTGAACATGAATTGATTTTACTTTATGTTAAATCTTGAACAAAATGTTGTCTTAAGTGACTTTAGTAAACGATAAGGATTTGGAGCTATATCTAAATTTGAATCGACTTTTTCTCAAATTTCAGTATGATTTGCCATTCAGCTTTAAATAAAGGATCTGTTCACAACTTTATCTTATTCGTATAGTAAATATGACCTGCACATCTTTGATAATAATACATAGACAGGCATACCTGTACCACAGTATCTGTAGGGTATAAATAATAATACGTAGGTTTAATGATCCGAAACGATATATCAAGTATACAGGCATCGGATTGTATATATACATGGGACTATGCCATAATGTAATGTATATATGTATGCAATAATTTCGATTGGAAATGTGAAAGGATCTTAAAACCTCGAACATATTTAAATGCGTTGTTCTGCAAATGTCTTGTTAACCACGAAGTAAGACACCAATTAACTTCTCAGTAAGGTGGTATCGTAAGTACTCTGATTTGTTACATGAGACATATGGCTATGGATATGTTAGGAAGCTATAAATAGCTTTCAGGGAGAATACCCCTAAAATACTAAGGGAACTGATGAGGAACAGTAGCTAGATTTGGAACTATAGTCTTCTTTGCCTTACCCCTAGGTGGACAATTCCATACTTTCCGCATATTCGGTATTTTGAAGATTACATACACACTTTTCTGAATTAGCTCTAATCTAATATTTTACTTTCTACAGACAAATATTACTACCAAAAATTATTCAATATAGGTGCACGTTTTGATGGAGGGAACGCCACTTTATGATACCCTTCACTCGATATATGCCCTAACAGACGTCGCATTTTAGCTGTGCCGAATTTCATTTCATTATAAAAGGTACCTGTATTTTCTTCAAAACCTGACATGGGCAGACGGACGGACATGCGTAAATTTCATTCGGCCATGGGACACATTTATGGAAAACGATTTATAGCAAAATTGATACACGCTATTCGGTACGCCGCACTGTTAAAAATTAATTTCAATCAGACACCCGTTCGAAATACGTATGGAAGCTATGGCTGCATCTGCACCAAATTCAACAAAACCCAATAACGTCATTAAGTCTCAATTTGATACGATGTGCAAAATTTAGTGTTAATCGAACAAACATTAGGAGTTTGGTGCACCATTTACATAAAATCGGTGGAATACATATGTATGTGTGGGAGCTATATCGAAATCTGAACCGATTCTCCCCAAACGTACCACACATCATTCTAGACTTTATCCAGTACACTATTCCAAATTTCGTGCAAATAGAAAGATATATAGGTACTTTGGTGAACCATTTACATTAAATTGGACGAAAATATATATGGGAGCTATATCGAAATCTGAACCGATTTTTCTCAAAATCAATAGGGTTCGTCCTTGGGCCAAATAAGTGACCTATGCCAAATTTCATCCAATTCGGATCATAAACCCGACGTGTACTTTGTTTACAATTACAATCGACTCAGAAAGTGATTCTTTGCATATTCTCAAAAGGAACCATGTGTCTATCTCGTTTCCTTTTGCCTGTTACAAACATATACACAAAGACATAATACCCTGTACCACAGTGTGGTGAAGGGGGTTATATGGGGACTACCCCTAGTGGGGAGATTTGCTACCATATACAACTACAAAATGTCAAATTTCAGCGAATTCGGTTGAAAAACGCGCTCAAGAACCTCAAAATATCGAAAATTGGGGGTACCCTTATATGGGGACTACTAGAAAAAATCGACCTATATTTATAATTTTTAGTGGAGAGATTTTTTACCCAATAAGAACTTAAAGTATGTATTCGGTTGAACGACGCGCTCAAGAACCCCAAAATACACAAAATGGGGGGTGCCCTTATATGGGGGCTACCCGAATGGACCTATATTTATAATTTTTTTTTGTGGAGATATTTGCTACCCATTAAGAACTCAAAGTACTTAATTACAGCCAATTCGGTAAAAAAATCAGGTCAAAACCCCCCAAAAACCGAAAATTGGGAAACCGTTGCATAGGTACTACAAAAAAAAAAAAAAAAAAAAAGTGGACCGATATTTAAAATTTATAGTGGAGAAATTTGGTATACATTGTACCAAATTTTAGCGAATTCGGTTGAAAAACGCGCTCAAGAACCCCAAAATACCATAAATTGGGGGTACCCTTATATGGGGGCTGCCCGAAAAAATTGACCTATAATTTTAATTTTTTTTGGAGAGATTTGCTACCCAATAAGAACCTATTGTACCAAATTTGAGCGAACATTTGAGTTAAAAAACGCGCTCGAGATCCCCAAAATTCTGAAAATTGGGGGTGCCCTTATATGGAAGCTATGCCTAAACGTGGACCGATATAGCCCATCTTCGAACTTGACCTGCCTGCGGACCAAAGACGATTCAATGCAAAATTTTGGAGTTCTGTCTCAATTCGTTTAGACGCTAGAATGATTACAACAGGCAGACGAACATGCTTAGATCGTCATAGAATTTTACGCTAATCAAGAATAAATATACTTTATAGGGTGGGAAATTATTATTTCGATAAGTTACAAACGGAAAAACAAAACTAATATACCCTCCATACTATGGTGATGGGTATAAAAATGCTGGGTACCCTTTTGTAGAGGATATACCAAAACGTGAACCCATATTGGCATTTTTTGATAAAATGAAGGGAGCTATACGAAAATATCCTAAAAGCAGTGACAATGTGTGTAAACCAAACCTCTATCTTAAATATTCCGAGTTCTGCATGGACCATCCTATTTCTCTCACAGTTTTTTAATCAATGTGCTTTTTTTCTACCACGAAAATATAATATTATGATCGAAACTACACCTTCGAACTTATGACCTTTTTGCCACTAAGTTTTTAGAAAAATTATGTTCGGCGAATTTTGGGAATCTTTCCCTTAAATAACTGTCAACTACATCATGTGCATTCTATTAGGGCTTGTAATATATCCCGTTTTCACACTAACCATTTACCTATGAATTTACATATCTAAATCAAAGTATGAAGTGTTACCATTAATCTGTTTACACTACAACCAAGTGTAAATTATAGTACTACCCTAACAACAACACTTAAAACTATATTGACATTCAAGGTTACTTTTCTGTTTGACTTTTAACAAGCGATTATATTCCCTTGGTGAAAACAACGTTACTATCACCACAACCCATATACCTACGTACATTTTCAAATATCTTCGAATGTATGGAGATTTCCGTGGGCTTGCGAAATGATTGTCGATAGAGCGGGTCATCACTATTCGAACTGTAATGAGAGGATAATTAAAAAGTAATAAATTCAATTTTAATATCTGAAAACTTACCCGGTTTTCAGGCAACGAAAACTTTGCTGTGTACTAACACGTGTCCGCTGAGCTCTTCTCTTAAGAGAGGAGGGTGACACCGAACCAATACCCGCCGTTATCCAGTCTATGTCGGGACCCTGTTGGCCATTGCCCTCTGTGTGGGAGGTGGCGTTTACATTGTCATTTGATTTCGAGGTTTTGTAGTCTTCTAATGCGGAGCTGCTCTCATTTGCCACACTATCAGTGATATTTGACGCAGTAGCTACGGCCAATTGTGAGGGTGGCACATGCAATGAATATTGTACCGCACCATCAGTGCTCACCAATGGTAGCTGTTTGCGTGACAAACGGGTCTTAACTGCTGCTACCAATGCTGCACCATCATCACGTGAACTGGCAATTTGTTGCACCACATCAAGCACTTCGCGGCTGGAGGAAATCTGACCCAACACTGCCAGGACATCAAGTGCTGCTTGGCGTACCCGACGCTTACGATTCAGTGCGGCATATGTGGCATTAGTAATGCAAGTCGGCGTATCGAAACAGGTACTGGGAAAGGTCATGAGTGCGTAGATCACCATTTGTAAGGCATGTTCACGGAACTGTAAAGGAGGAGTGGGGGAAATATGAAAACAAAAAATATTAAAAAATTAACATAAAGTCATAAATTGACAGAGACAGGTTAACTGTGTGAATATGTCTGTGTGTGTTTGTTTCGAATTTGTTCTAACAAAGTGTAATTTATTTACAGATTGTAAGGAAAATAATTGTAATTAATTGCCATAGGTCAAACCAAACAAATGGGAAGGATAGCCAAGCAACAAAAATCTATTAAAAACATCGATTTATTTGAAGAATATTTTAAAGGGGTCGATTTTTTAAAGAATATTCCAGACCTCTATAAGGCTTGGATTTTTTACAGAATATTTTTTTCAGACCTTCATAAGGCGTGGATTTTTTAAAGAATATTTTTTCCAGGCCTTCATAAGGCGTGGATTTTTTAAAGAATATTTTTTCCAGGCCTTCCTAAGGCGTGGATTTTTTAAAGAATATTTTTTCCAGGCCTTCATAAGGCGTGGATTTTTTAAAGAATATTTTTTCCAGGCCTTCATAAGGCGTGGATTTTTTAAAGAATATTTTTTCAGGCCTTCATAAGGCGTGGATGTTTTAAAGAATATTCCTTCCAGGCCTTCATAAGGCTCGGATGTTTTAAAGAATATTTCTTCCAGACCTTCATTAGGCGTGGATGTTTTAAAAAATATTTCTTCCGGGCCTTCATAAGGCGTGGATTTTTTAAAGAATATTTTTTCCAGGCCTTCATAAGGCGTGGATTTTTTAAAGAATATTTTTTCCAGGCCTTCATAAGGCGTGGATTTTTTAAAGAATATTTCTCCCAGGCCTTCATAAGGCGTGGATTTTTTAAAGAATATTTCTCCCAGGCCTTCATAAGGCGTGGATTTTTTAAAGAATATTTTTTCCAGACCTTTATAAGGCGTGTATATTTCTCCCAGGCCTTCATAAGGCGTGGATTTTTTAAAGAATATTTTTTCCAGACCTTTATAAGGCGTGGATTTTTTAAAGAATATTTCTTCCAGGCCTTCATAAGGCGTGGATTTTTTAAAGAATATTTTTTCCAGACCTTTATAAGGCGTGGATTTTTTAAAGAATATTTTTTCCAGACCTTTATAAGGCGTGGATTTTTTAAAGAATATTTTTTCCAGACCTTTATAAGGCGTGGATTTTTTAAAGAATATTTTTTCCAGACCTTTATAAGGCGTGGATTTTTTAAAGAATATTTTTTCCAGGCCTTCATAAGGCGTGGATTTTTTAAAGAATATTTTTTCCAGGCCTTCCTAAGGCGTGGATTTTTTAAAGAATATTTTTTCCAGGCCTTCATAAGGCGTGGATTTTTTAAAGAATATTTTTTCCAGGCCTTCATAAGGCGTGGATTTTTTAAAGAATATTTTTTCAGGCCTTCATAAGGCGTGGATGTTTTAAAGAATATTCCTTCCAGGCCTTCATAAGTCTCGGATGTTTTAAAGAATATTTCTTCCAGACCTTCATTAGGCGTGGATGTTTTAAAGAATATTTCTTCCGGGCCTTCATAAGGCGTGGATTTTTTAAAGAATATTTTTTCCAGGCCTTCATAAGGCGTGGATTTTTTAAAGAATATTTTTTCCAGGCCTTCATAAGGTGTGGATTTTTTAAAGAAGAATTTTTCGAGGTCCTCATAAGGCGTGGATTTTTTAAAGAATATTTCTCCCAGGCCTTCTTCATAAGGCGTGGATTTTTTAAAGAATATTTTTTCAGGCCTTCATAAGGCGTGGATTTTTTAAAGAATATTTTTTCCAGACCTTTATAAGGCGTGGATTTTTTAAAGAATATTTTTTCCAGACCTTTATAAGGCGTGGATTTTTTAAAGAATATTTTTTCCAGGCCTTCATAAGGCTTGGATTTTTTACAGAATATTTTTTCCAGGCCTTCATAAGGCGTGGATGTTTTAAAGAATATTCCTTCCAGGCCTTCATAAGGCGTGGATGTTTTAAAGAATATTTCTTCCAGACCTTCATTAGGCGTGGATGTTTTAAAGAATATTTCTTCCGGGCCTTCATAAGGCGTGGATTTTTTAAAGAATATTTTTTCCAGGCCTTCATAAGGCGTGGATTTTTTAAAGAATATTTTTTCCAGGCCTTCATAAGGCGTGGATTTTTTAAAGAATATTTCTCCCAGGCCTTCATAAGGCGTGGATTTTTTAAAGAATATTTCTCCCAGGCCTTCATAAGGCGTGGATTTTTATACCCTACACAACTATGTTGTCAGGGTATTATAGCTTTGTGCAGCCCCAAATGTTTGTAACGCCGCGAAATATTGGTCCTAGACCCACCTTTAAGTATACCGATCGTCATATCTCGACTAGCTGAGTCGATCTAGACATGTGTGTCCGTCCGTCCGTCCGTCTGTCCATTATAATTTGTAAACACGATACAGGCCACAGTTATGGACCAATCTTCACGAAATTTTGCATGTAGGATGGGTTCTGGCCAATGAAGACCCCTATTGTTTTTGGAAAAGATCGGTTAATATTTAGGGGATGAAATGGACCAAATACTAAATTTCTGTCGGTTTTTCTGGTCGCTCCAGAGGCCGCAATTATGGCCCAAACACCGCGAATTTTTGCATGGAGAAGGGGATCGGGCCAGAGAATAAGCATGCATGTTTTGATAAAGATCGGTCAATATTTAGCGGGTCAAATGGACCCTGACTTTTGTGTGAAAAATGACAAAATTTGTATTCTATGGCATATATATTTACTCCTGGAGGATGTAGACCCCAGGAGTTGATAGCACATCCAAGAGGAGTGGTTGGCCTTTAAATTGATACCAAATATAGTGATGTATCTACTCAGATGTGGGAGTTGCAGTCAAATATTTACAGGTGCTTACGTATTCAGATATTATTCAGTAACCCATTACCACATTAGAGGGAGAAATATCGCGCTGATGGCTTTGAAATTTTTCACGAAGTTCCAGTTATGGTCAAGAACAACGCCTATAATTTTCGGTGATGATCAGATTAAAATTTTGGGATGAAATGGACCGAAAACATAATTTTTTGTGTGTTTTCGAGTAGAGTATAATCCGAAAATCATAACACAACCCACCGTGAAGGTAATCTGGACAAGTAAATAGAAGGACTGTACTGAATATTCGAAAAAAGTAAGGAAGAGGTGTTGTTAACCTCTAATCGGACAAGAGGGGGCAAATATCACGAAATATTACTCAGACTCGGAATAAACATCCTCAGAAAGTTAGAGTTCGTGGTAGTTGTGTAGGGTATCGCATGGTCGGCCCCGTCCGACTATACTGCTCCGCTCACTGGTTTAAAGAATATTTTTTCCAGACCTTTATAAGGCGTGTATTTTTAAAGAATATTTTTCCAAACCTTTATAAGGCGTGGATTTTTTAAAGAATATTTCTTCCAGGCCTTCATAAGGCGTGGATTTTTTAAAGAATATTTCTTCCAGGCCTTCATAAGGCGTGGATTTTTTAAAGAATATTTTTTCCAGACCTTTATAAGGCGTGGATTTTTTAAAGAATATTTTTTCCAGACCTTTATAAGGCGTGGATTTTTTAAAGAATATTTTTTCCAGACCTTTATAAGGCGTGGATTTTTTAAAGAATATTTTATTCATACCTTCATAAGGCGTGGATTTTTTTAAAGAATATTTCTTCCAGGCCTTCATAAGGCGTGGATTTTTTTAAAGAATATTTCTTCCAAGCCTTCATAAGGCGTGGATTTTTTTAAAGAATATTTCTTCTAGGCTTTCATAAGGCGTGGATTTTTTAAAGAATATTCCTTCCAGGCCTTCATAAGGCTCGGATGTTTTAAAGAATATTTCTTCCAGGCCTTCATAAGGCATGGATGTTTTAAAGAATATTTCTTCCAGACCTTCATAAGGCGTGGATGTTTTAAAGAATATTTCTTCCAGACCTTCATAAGGCGTGGATGTTTTAAAGAATATTTCTCCCGGGCCTTCATAAAGCGTGGATTAAAAAAACATTCTCAAGAGTTCCTTGGTGGAATCCTTCCCTACATTTTCCCATTGACCATTGTTGTTCATAGATTTTACTTTTCCAACAATTATTAATATTCACGTGTATATGTGTGTGTGTAGTAACGATGTGGTCGAATACGACGACGGAAGTTTGACGACATGTAAATGAAATGCATTGAGCACAAGGTGCCCAGTTCATTTGGAACCATCAAACATCATGCAAATCGAAATGTGACGAATACTGCCGATGAACATTCAGTCACATTCAGTAGCTGTTGACTGACCACCAGACGTTGATAGACATGAATCGAAACGAAACCACAGAAAAAAATTAGCATTAAATTAATGTTCAAATCAAAGAAGTGCACAGACCGCTGCACCCAGCACTTACTAAATTCATTCACTGGTGGTGGCAGCCGCATTATGAAAATTTTGTTATCGGGTGGCCAATTTGGGAGAATTTTATGAATAAGCACTTTTGGGAAATTTCTATGACAAGACAATTTTTGGAAATTTGCGAGGGATATTTATTATATACCTTGAAAATCCACATCTTATATAGGCCTGTAAAAAATTTTCTTTAAAAAATCAACGCCCAGGAAAAATAGTTTTTAAAAAATCAACGCCTTATGAAGGCCTGGAAAAAATATTCTTTAAAAAATCCACGCCTTCTGAAGGCTTGGAAAAAATAAGCCTTAAAAATTATTGTTTAAAAAAGCCAAACCTTATTTTGGTCTTAAAAATAACTTTAAAAATTCCATTTATGGTTGAAAAAATTAATCCGAACGGCAACTCTAACTTCGGAACCTATGTAATTTTCCATTTCCTTTTATTTGAGTGTTTTCATTCTGTTTTTCTTTTTGTATCTCTTTTTTTCATGGAGACAAAGTAAACACACAAAAAACCAAAAGAGAACAAATTGAGAACTTACCCTTGAGCTTTTGGCATGCAGAAAGTCCTGCGATATCAATTTCAAAATAATGGCCGACGGTGGCAGGCGTTGCATTAGGGCTTTGCACACCCGATTGGCCCCGGCACCACCCTGCCGACACAGGCCACTCATAATTTGCATTGTGCGGTCTTCCAAATTGTCCAGTGGCAGGCGTGTTATCAAATTAATTAATAGTTTTCGTTTTTCCTCGGCCACTTCGGCTTTGCACTCCGAGGAGAGTAGGGTGCGCAGCAGAGAATCCAAACAGGGTTGGACACGTGCTAAATTGTCGGAGGATCTGAGTGATTGTTCCAGTTGTATGACACCCTGTAGGCGATGGCGCCAATTCTGTAAAGAGAGGGCGGAGAGAGAGGAAACATACATGGAAATTAGTGGGTAAGGTAAAGGGTGTTAGGCACTACTACAACAAGAACATACAAGTTATTAAATTATAATAACCAACTAAAAATCATGTCCTGATTTATGGTTTTGTAATTTATTATCATTTAAAGGGTTAGGCCATAAAACTAAACGTTATCTCCTGGTTTTTAGTTATTTTATTGGGTGATGTTCGAAACATGCAAATTTCTCATCATCGTTATCACTAAGTCATTAGCACGCTCCTTTAAAACCTTGAGCCTGTTCAAAGTTTGCCTATAAATTTCACGACCCATCACCCACAACAACAAACAATTTGTTGAGAATATTTTCATTGGAATTTGACGATGACCTTTCTGGTATTCGAGAATTATCTCTTGAATGTTTTTAACAATTTAGATGTTGTTTGTAGATGTGTGCGTGTTCTAGTCTAATTTATATATACAACATGATATAAGTGGGCCGGAGTAGGGGATAAAAAGGCCTTTTTGATGTTAAATGACCAACAAGGCTTACCAGGGCGTAAATTTAAAAAAAAAAATCGGATGAAATTTGGCACAGTTCACTTATTTGGCCCAAGGACGATCCCTGTTGAAATTGGGAAAATTCGATTCAGATTTAGATATAGCTCCCATATATAGTATCGTCCGATTTAAGGTAAATGGTGCACCAAAGTCCCTACATATCATTCGATTTGCACGAAATTTGGCATAGAGTACTGAATTAGGTCTAGAATGATGTGTGCTAAGTTTCGTGAAAATCGGTTCAGATTTAGATATAGCTCCCATATGTATTTCCGTCCGATTTAAAGTTAATGGGGCAACAAAGTTCCTATATATTTTTCGATTTGCACTAAATTTGGTATAGGGTACTGAATTAGGTCCAGAACGAAGTGTGCCAATTTTCGAGAAAATCGGGTCAGATTTATATATAGCTCCCACATATATTTTCCTCCGATTTAAGATAAATGGGACACCAAAGTTCCTATATATCTTTCGATTTGCACGAAATTTGGCATAGAATACTGAATTAGGTCCAGAACGAAGTGTGCCATGTTTCGAGAAAATCGGGTCAGATTTATATATAGTTCCCATATATATTTCCGTCCGATCTAAGGTAATTAGGGCTTCCAAGTCCCAAAATATCTTTCGATTTGCAGGAAATTTTGCATAAGGTACAAAATTAGGTCCAGAATGATGTATGTTAAGTTTCTTGAAAATCGGTTCAGATTTATATTTTCCTCCGATTTAATATAAATGGTGCACCAAAGTCAATATATATCTTTCGATTTGCACAATATTGGGCATGACGTACTGAATTGAGTCTAGAATTATGTGTGCTAAGTTTCGTGGAAATCGGTTCAGATTTAGATATAGGTCCTATATATTTTTTTCTTTTTATTTTAGTAAATTGTGCATTAAAGACCCTAGGTTTGTCCAGCTGCCACAAAATTTTGTACAATGAAGTTAATGAAAATTAATCTCTGGTTAGTATAAATTAATCTCTAGCAAGTTTCGTTGAAATCGGTTTAGACTTAGATATAGGATCAGATATATATCTGACCAAATGAAAAATTTAGTATAGGTTGCTGAAAGACATGTTTATGGATCCAATTTCATTTTACTGGTCCTTCAAAAATGCGACGACTGTTAAAATTCATCTGTTGAATATACCCAAAATGGTGAAGGGTACATTGTGCATTTTTTATGAAGATTTTTTTAAGGCCTACTAAGGCGTGGATTTTTTATGAAGATTGTTTTAAGGCCTACTAAGGCGTGGATTTTTTATGAAGATTTTTTAAGGCGTGGATTTTTTATGAAGATTTTTCTTAAGTCCTACTAAGGCGTGGTTTTTTTATGAAGATTTTTTTAAGGCCTACTAAGGCGTGCATTTTGTAAAAAATACAATTTCAAGAAGATTTGTTTCAAGGGTTACTAAGGCGTGAATTTTTTAAGAATATTTTTTTCAAGGCTTACTAAGGCGAGGATTTTTAATGAAGATTTTTTCCAGGCCTACTAAGGTCTGCTAAAGATTTTTTAAGAATTTTAGTAGTGTTGGCGGGTTAGTTGGGATATCATTTGTATTTTGTTTTTGCAAAATAGTCAGGCTGAATCTGCAGCAGTGGGAAATGTATTGTATTTGTCTGCAAATGCCTTGTTGACCACGAAGTCAGGCGCCAACGAAACGAACTTCTCATTGGGGTCGTATTGCTGTTAACGTAAGACCTTCGAATTGTCACATTTGACATTTGGGTATGAAAGGTTTTTTGTAAAGAAGCTATTAATAGCTTCTGGGGATAATATCCCAACAAAATCTAAGGGAACTGATGAGGATCAGTGGCGAGATCCGAAACTATAGTATTCCCTGCCTTACCCCTCGGCGGACAAGTAGTAATAAATAGTTGTTTTTTATAAAAACAACAAACTGGGCATTCTAAAGAGAAGAATTTTTAAGAATATTTTTCAAAGTCTACAAAGGAGAAGAAAATTTCAAGACCTACTAGTAAATGTATTTTTAGAGAAATTTTCCCCAATGTCTTTTTCCGCAGAACCTTGCTTGAGTACATGTTAATGTGTCTAATATTTATTTTGGCAGGCCCCTAATATTGTGGCCTCGTGTTTTATTAACTTCACACCATTAAAATCGATTGTTCGTTATTTCATTTAGTTTACGGGTTTAAATACACGCTTACTTAATTTTCTCCCAACAGTTTAATGGTCAAACTAAATTGAATTTTGGTGTTTATTTTCTCGTTTGTTTCTCGTTTTAAGAAAACAAATATTTCGAGTTAACAGTTGGAGGGCACAGTAATTAAAATAATTAGTACTTGTCTTGTTTGAAGAGTGATGACCTTTTGTTCTTTTGTTAAGGGCATGAAAATGTAATATTAATTATATAGAGATGTGAATTCATACAGGAATTCTATGGAAATATTTCTTAAATACCTCTTTGAAAATAGTCTTAAAAAATCCACGCGTATAGCTAGGGAGAAATCTACTTTTATAGGTCCTTCAGAAAACAAGGTGTTTCAAACAAGGAGTTCGGGTGGTCCTTTAACACATCGATCTCTAGCATTTCTTAAAAAAAATTAATCAAAAAAAAAAAAAAAACCAGTAAGGAAAGTAGTAAAGTCGGACGGGGCCGACTATATGATACCCTTCACCACTTTGAGCATATTCAACAGATGAAATAGAAGCTATATCTAAATCTGAACCGATTTCAACGATTTCAGGAAACTTAACACACATCATTCCAGACCTCATCCATAACGCAGTGCCAAATTTCGTGCAAATCGAAAGATATATAGGGACTTTGGTAGACCATTTACATTAAATCGGACGAAAATATATATAGGAGCTATATCTAAATCTGAACCGATTTTCAGGAAACTTAACACACACCATTCTATAACTAATTCATTACGCTGTGCCAACTTTGGTGCAAATCGAAAGATATATAGAGACATTGGTGCACCATTCAGATTAAATCGGATGAAAATATATATGGGAGCTATATCTAAATCTGGACCGATTTTCAGGAAACTTAACACACACCATTATATTCCTAATTGATTACGATGTGCCAACTTTCGTGCAAACCGAAAGATATATAGGGACTTTGGTGCACCATTTAAATTAAATCGGACGAAAATATATATGGGAGCTATATCTAAATCTGAACCGATTTTCAGGAAACTTAACACACATCATTCTATACCTAATTCAGTACGCTATGCCAAATTTCGTGGAAATCGAAAATATATAGGTACTTTGGTGCCACGTTTACCTTAAATCGGACGAAAATATATATGGGAGCTATATCTAAATCTGAACCGATTTTCACGAAAAATCAGCACACACCATTATGGACCTAATTCAGTACACTATGCCAAATTTCGTGCAAATCGAATGATATATAGGTACTTTGGTGCCTATATCGGGCGAAAATATATATGGGAGCTATATCTAAATCTGACCCGATTTTCACGAAACTCAGCACACATCATTTTGGACCTCATTCAGTACGCTATGCCAAATTTCGTGCAAATCGAATGATATATAGGTACTTTGGTGCCTATATCGGGTGAAAAAATATATGGGAGCTATATCCCTCTGAAAAATATTTTTCCCAATTTCAATCCAGGGTTCAGTCCTTGGCCCAAAAATGACCTATGCCAAATTTCATCCAAATCGGATCATAAATGCGACCTGTACTTTGTTCACAAAAATACATGGACGGACAGACGGCCATGCGGAAAATATTCAGAAAGTGATTCTATGCATATTCCCTTGAAAAATACCATGTGCCTATCTCGTTTCCTTTTGCCTGTTACAAACATATGCACAAAGACATAATACCCTGTACCACAGTGTGGTGAAGGGTATAAAAATAAATAAAATAAAGACTACCAGGGCTATAGGTGGACTTAATTTTTATACCCTTCACAACACTGTGGTACAGAGTATTATGTCTTTGTGCATATGTTTGTAACAGGCAAAATGAATCGAGATAGACTCATGGTTCCTTTTGAGAATATCCACTGAAGTAAATCCATGTCCGTCAGTATCCGTCCTTGAAAAATTTTTGTTAACAAATATAGGTCGCATTTATGAATATTTTGATGAAATTTGGCACATGTCCCTTGAATTATTCTTTAATAAACGAACCCTATTGAAACTGGAGAAAATCGGTTCAGATTTAGATATAGCTCTCATATATAGTTTCGTCCGATTTTTTGTAAATGGTGCAACCAACTCACAATATAGTCTCCCTGTAAAAATTCGAGATGTTTGGGAGTTATTGCGACCGCCAGAGCGACCAGAAAAACCGACAAAAATAAAGTATATGGTCAATATCATCCCCTAAATATTAACTGATCTGTACCAAAAACAATAGGGATCTTCATTGGGCCGAACCCATCCTAAACGCAAAATGTTATGAAGATTGGTCCATAACTGTATCGTGTTTAC